CACAGTGTCCAGAAGCTCAGTGTCAAAACTTCCTTCAAAGGGGCACAGCATTCCTCACCATCCCCTTCCCCCCCAAAAGAGATACATTTAAAGGGTGAGGGATTCCTTTGAACTTTAGAAGTGAGAGGATCCTTTTTTGATCCACAAAGGCTTAATCACTAGATTGTTTACTACTTCGTCAAGAAGCAGGTACCTATAGCTATGAAATTTCACATTCACTTGCTTCTACTTCTAAAAAAAAAAGAAAAGAAAAAGAACCACCGTGTAATGCTTTTGTTCTTCCTACAGGAAAGCAGCATTCACTTTGCATCCTCACTTCCCCCACTCTAGCTTCATTGAACAAGTCAGAAAAGACTAAGTTGCTTCCTGTTTTACGGATAAATATCACACGGTGGGCTTAAGTTTGTCCCTGAGCATGGGACATCACCTCTTGTTTTGCTTTCCCAACTCAAGACTGTAGCAGTACAGCCTTTTCTTGAACCGTTCATGACCTTCCTCAGGCCTGTGCTCTCCAACCTCTCCCCAGGTTGCTCTGCTTGCTCCCAGGCTCCAGCCGGATTGCACTGCAAGCTTAATGGAAGCTGGGAAGCAAGAAAACTCCTGCCTCTTCCATCTAAAGGGCCTGGCCCAAATACTGGGATGCATTCCAGTTACAGTGCTTCCCCAAATCGTTAGCATGTCTTAGGACAACAGCAGTATTTGTGCAGGTCTGCAAGGAATCAGAACAGGAAGCTGGTCCAGCCAGAAGAAAAAAAAGGTATTTTCAGTCAGACGAGTTCTCTGCCCTGACTCAACGCACAGATGCTTCAACAGCACTGCCAGCTCAGGAGGACAGTCAGACTGCGCAGAACCCACTCGAGTCAATCGCCCATTAAATACATCCCAGTAAAGCACCTTTCTTTTCTGAAGAACATTAGTGAATTTGACTGTGAAGTCATAGCCAGGTGGAACAAGTGGAGCACATGCTATGAATTCACATCTTTAATTTGACCAGTGAATCACTACGATATCAATACTCTAATTTATTCTCTAACTGGAGTCTCATTAAGCGCTCTGGTTTGGTTTGTCAATTTTTCTGCAAGCTGGAAAAAGGGCGGACTTGGGGCAAACACAAGAGCCATCTCACTGACAGGTGAATTTAGTTTACCTTATTCCTCTGCATTATTCCTGAAAGGACTGAACATTATTAATAGCAAATTGTTATACAGCATATCTCTTATGTGAGGGAACAGACTAGCTTCTAATCCGCAAGTAAAGGCAGAATGATCCATTTACTGAAGAAAAAATGCATTCAAAAATCCCTTGAAACCTTAGTGTGTTTTGAATATTTCACTGTAGAAGAGTTTCTAAAGCAAAATTTACAGAATTTCATACCTTAAAATTGCTAACTCCATATTTAAAAAACTATCGAGTTGTTGTAAGACCTTACATTTAGTACCTGGCTAAGCAATTACTAATTGCAGTGTTATAACTCCATGAGAATTAGTACCCAAATAATTAACAACAGAAAGCTTGTAGGTAGACAAATTTTACTTTTCAGAAACCAATGCTGAAGTTTCATACTTCATCCTGTTCTCCCTTTGCCAGCTAGATTTGATGTTTGAATTTTATATTTCAAATATTTACTTCCTTACCACTACAGATAAATTCATCTAATCAAATGATAATACCCACTTAAGCAAGGCACCTTAGGCTTTTTTTCTCTCTCTCCACCCCTCTTTTATTCCCCCCCTCAAAATAGCATGCTTTAACAGATAAATTGGAATTTCTACCTTAAGATTCAGTTGGTATCAAGGCCATGATCCAAAAGTTATATCAATCTCATCCTACGTTGGCTGACGTTTCTTCAGTAACGAAGGAGGCCTCAAGTGACTGGCTTCAGTTTTTAAACTGGTTATCTAAGTGGCAAGGGCTGCACTACTGAAGTTAACAGTGAGCTCAGCTGAATTAGCATTTCAAGTAAATATATTACCATTTAAGAGCAGGCACAAGCAAGAATAAGAACACGCTTTCATAGTTAATTAAGGATGATCTGAATCTACATTATTGCCAGAATTTACAGTCCTGTGCCCTGTGGTGTACAGGCCCCAACACTCACCTGACCACAAGGTCGGGAACAGTTGAAAAGGGGTGACAAGTGACATATGTGGCTCCTTCTGAAGGTCAGCGGGTGACTGGGACTGCCCTGTGCTGCACACGCTTAATCAGCTCAAACCAGGCAAGGAGAGGAAGCCCCTGACTGAAAGGCAGTAATCAAGCTCTGAACATCTGCTAGAACATAACTTACGGGGTGGTTGTGCAGAATTGCTGATGACATTCCAGGATAATATTTGACATTACACCTTAGCTGCAGTTTTTGCTATTATCTGGTTCATGTGATTATCACAGACTAATTTAGATTGAAATGGTCAGCTAGTCCAACCTGCTGCTCAGAGTAGGTCAACTTCAATGTTAAAGCTGCTGTTCTGGGCCTCTACCAGCTACGATCTGAAAAATTCCAAGGATGGAGATTCCCCAGCAACCTGGTTGCAGAGCTTAACCCCTCCTGAGGAAAATTCCCCTTATCCTAATATCAGCTCCCTTGCTACGGGTTGTGAGCATTGCGTCTTCTGCTGTTCACTGCTGAAAATCTGGCTCCACCTTCTCTGCTCTGTGCACTAAATACTGCAGTCAGGCTCCTTTCTCTGTTTCTTCTACCTGAACCCAGCTCTCCCAGGCTCCCCTCACAGATCAGGCTCCAGGTCTCTTACTGACCCAGCCCTCTGCCAGACTCTGTCCTTCCTCCAGATCTTTTTTTTTTTTTTTTTGGGGGGGAGGCACTGGGTGTGTGTAGCAAGGGGAGGATGTATCAAGAACTGGACAGTTATTTCAGATGCAGCTGCCCATGTGCTCAGGGGGATCTCACTTCTCTTCACCTACTGCCTGTGTCTCATTAATGCAGCCCAGCACTGACTTCAGTAGCAGAACTCTCCACCAACCCTCATTCAACTTGGCAAGTGGATCAGAGGCCGTTCCCACAGACCTCCTCCCTAAGCTGCCAGCCCAGATCTGTACCATCACACAAGGAATTTGCACACTGGGTGCTGGACTGCATATTTCTCTTTGTAGGAGGCTGCCTGCTCCCTTGGCACCCCACTGCTTCACGGTAAGAAACGCTCTGGGCACAATCAAGTGCCACGACAGCCTCAACTTCCACAGGTATTCTTATCCACAACACAGGGATCCAGATTACCTAGCAGCTCTACTACCACAATCCATAACTAACCACATGTCGCTATTTTTCAAGACAGAGATGAAGGAACTCAACTGCTGCCTTCAAACCAGTGCATGAAACATCTTATTTTAACTTGGAATCATATTGTCCGTGCTAATCAGGGCTTGCTCCCAACTATTCTGAACAGCAGCAGCTAAGAAACTAGTCACTACTAAAAGGTTTCTTCTCAGTTAGCTCAATATTGCTCTGGAGGATGCTTTGGTAGCACCTACCACATGACTACAAACCAGCCTGTTCCATTACTACCGTCTTAAACTATTCATTTTGCTACACTGTCACAGCATTTTCACAGCATTTTGCTCTCAATCAGTAAAATATTTTTTCTCCATATCCATTTCTCTTTGCTTTAAGCCAGGCACTAGAAGAATGTGAAGAGTGGAGTCCACGCAGATGTTCAGCATTTCAGTTTTGGATTGATTAGCCTACATATTAAAATGCTACCACAATCTTTCCACAAAAGTTCAAGTAGCCCCTTCAAACATTCACCGAGTGTATTTTCCATTCAGTAAACGTACTTTGAAGTAGCTGAAGTTAGTACTGCAGCTTCAGAATGTTAAACTTTGCATAATCGGACAGCATTTCTACGTGATTTTCTAAAACGGTTCTGTCAAATATTCAGCAATGCAAGTTCAACAAGAACAAAAAAGGGCCACACGTGAATTGGTCACTCACAAGCAGATATCATCTTTATGATAGTATTCTGATGTTTCATTTTCTGAAATGCATGGTTGTATCAAGACTGTTGTTTCAAAAGGCTTTTTCAGAGGCAGATTCCTGTAAACTGGTGTGCACTGTGCACAGCTGTCTCAGTCTTAAGGATAGAGTGCCCCCATTAACAAAAACAGATTAACAAGCCAAAAAAAATCCACAAAACCATGTTACTCCCACATCCTAAACAAATAATTTAGGGCTTTATTGCTGAATCATTTTCAATTCACTTTAGAAGCAGCAAGATTGGTGCAACCAGAACAAAGCCATATGTCTGTCAGAAACTGCCTTATAGACAAGCAGCTGCAACTAGTCAGCTATGGTTTAGAAACCACAGCTGACTAAAAACCTGGATTTGCAAGCAGCACAGCTGAAACCACCTATTACCAAGATACATTATTGCCATCAAACTCTGTAAATATCTGAATAAGCTGCATGTTTACATCTAAGCAAGCTTATTATAGAACAGGAAAATAGGTGCAGCTGTTAACTACATCAGTTTAAGAGTTCAAGAAGTAGGTGAAGAGCAGCTCAGGTGATTTGTGCGCTTAATAAAGCAGAAAAAAATCAGGTGGAATCAAGGTAAGTGTTAACAGCAGGAGGGCCCCAACCCCATCTCTCAACCTCCAATTTCTCAAGCAACCAGGTATACTATAAAGCAGCATGGCACAGATATTGTCAAACAGTTCAAATCACTTCATGTTTTACAATATCTCACTGGAGTAAGGCTGCTAGACCCTGCTCAAATTTAAGTATGAAACGTGCTGTGAAATATGCTACAAATCAATAGAGTATTGCACAACGTTCATTCCCAAGTGAAGAAAAAAATAGCAGACCAAAGTGAAACAATTTAAGCTCAATGTGATTCAATGATAGCAATAACACACAGATAACAACAAGCTCCTGTTCAATATGTGCATTAAAATTTTGCTTTTGTCTCTGCTATATTTAAATAGCAATCAGAAATAGCTCTCTGATAACTCCAGGACTGACCATTCCTGACATCTTTTCTATGCACTTCCTACTACAATCTCCTCTTATCCCTTTGCTTATCTCCTAAGCAAAGCATCAAAATGCAAGTCCGCATACATAGTATAACAAACAGTTTTTCATTTCCCCTGCTCCAGGGTCAGAAACCTCCAAGGCGCACAGCAAGTGGCTGTAATACTCTTAAAGATTTTTAAACTAGATAAAATATTAAAGGATAGATCCAACTTTGACTTTCCTGGAAAGTCGTTAGTTCAAGGCTGACACTTGAATCATCTTCTCATCTCCTGTCAAAGTAACTTACCTATAAAAAGGTTAGTACTTTCTAGAGAAGAGCCTCATGCCACAGGATTATTCCCACCGCACCTACCTGAGCACTTACACTGTTCCCCTTGCTTCTCATCTCATCCTTTGGAGAATGTGTTCAGTGCACCAGCCTTGTGCAAACGATCTGCTGCTCTAGTGACTCAGAAGCACAGTATCTCAAAGGCAAAGAAGCACAAGCAGCTGAGAGCAGGGTGGAAATGAGAGCAACTATGAGGCAGCCTCAGGCACCCCACAAAACTTTCCCCTCATGATGACAAATCAGCAGACAGAGTGAAGTACAAAAGTTGTTTTGATACTCCTGGATTGTGCTGATCTAGCGTACCAGCTTTCGAAGGCCATGATACAAGTGTGCCATAAAATTAACATATGATGCTCAATTTTTTTTTTTTTTTTAGATTATTCAGAAGTTAACAGAAACAACCAGCCAATCTTCTGTTTAATATTCTAAACTGCCATTCTGTAGGAACCTGCTATATAAAAATAAAGGTTTTCCAGACTTTACTTAAAGGCTTACAGGGGTTATTTTCCTACTAATAATAATATTCCATACATCTTTTCCCTTTTGCAAAAAGTTCACAGTAGCTACAAAATTTCATTTCCTCACAGCAAATTGCTTTGTTCAACTCAAAGCATAGTGCTACAGCACTCTATATGGGGGGAAGAAATCACCTACAGCTAAAGCCTCTTTTCCCCATAAAAAGCTCCAAGTTTTTTTTGTTTTGCTTTTAATTGTTTCATTATACAGACAGACATTTGACCCAAGTCGCAGATGAAGCTTACTCTACTACACCTTAAAAATCTTTTTTGAAGCCTGTTCCATTAGAAATGTAGTACTTCAGAAAGCCATATAGGGCTACAAGCAACACATTCCTGCATTTCCACGCACACAGAATCAATCCTTACAGAGCCATATGGACAACCAGGCAATCTGTCTAATAACAAATGCGAATGGATCTCTTTGCAGAAGCTCATCTTTAACACCCAAGGGTAAGGAGCATGCAGTGACTTAACTATTTCACAGAACCATGACTAAGATCACCTTGGCTTCCAATAAAACTTTAAAATGACTATCAAAATTAGTTTTTCAATGAAGACATAAAACAGTCTGGAAGAGAATATACCATTTATTCTTACACTGGCTAAGTCTAAAGGAGTTAAATAATTGCTTAAAAATAAGAATGGCTGAGTCACCTTTTCTGCCTTGACAGGAACAATTTTCATCATCTGTAAATACAGTTTTCACTGTCAGCTACTCAGAGTATGGTACATCTAAGGCCTCTTCTTCATAGACCAGACACTGTATACCAAGTGGTCAGAACCGAATAGTGTTGTGTTCCCTTCTGCCACCTTATCTTCCAGTGAATATAAGGGCACAAGCAAGGGTAGATTACAAGAGATAGGCTCTGCACAAGCGTGTTTTAAGAACATGGTGTTTTCTGAGTGTACTGAGAATTAAGGCTGCATCCCACTTCTAAGCCATATTGAAAAATTAAGATACATAGACAGGAGATCCTCTTGTTCCTGTCTCACCATTAGCCACACGTGGAAGGCCCTGAAGGACCCACATGGACATCTCTTCCTCTCCAAGCCAGTACCTCGGATAGCAATAATGACACCAGTTACTCTCAGTAGCAAAATGAGTCAAACTTAGTGGCCAACCCCAAATCCTGTCAAAAACATCCTGTCATCTTCAAAATTAACCTACAGACTCTATAACTGCATAGTATAGTCGTCATCATCAACGGCAAGAGGGTTGACCTTCTTATACCTACATATTCTCCAAAGACAGGGCTTGAATGGGATGCAATGACATGTTACAAGATGAATCTCATTTTACTGACCCAAAAAATTTGAATTTCCAAAACTATTTTCAGCCTTACAGAAAGCACATACATCCCTCCTACATTTTCTTTACATTTCTTCTCCCACCAAAGCTTCCAAGTACCAACAGAGTCTCATGTCTACTTTGCAATTCACCAAAATTAAGCTAATAACACCTCCTGCTGACATCTGTCATTTAGAATAAGATTTATAAATGGCAACAGAAATCACTTTCATAATGTTTACGGAAACATGAACAGCTTGAGCAGGCAGATACAAATCCACTGTTCGTATCAAGTGAAACTTGTCATGAAAACTAAAAACTTTTATATATATAAATAAAACTGTACCCAAAAGTCTGAACAAACAAGTACAAATTGGACCATTCTATGTATTTATATTGAAACTACTTGGTGTGAAAAGGAACAGCTGTTCCAAAAGGACTTTTGTCTGATAATTTCATTGTACTTGGCACCCCTCAAATCCCTCCAATCCATCCTCCATCCATACTGCTTATTAATATTGCTACCACCTCCTGTAGGTACCTGCTCTATTTCAGAGATACTAAGCCCATTTTTTCCCTAAACATATGAATGCAGATACTTGGGTTTGCTTCCATAAACTCAGCTCCTTTACTATGATTTAATCATTTCACTAATTAGTAAACATGATATTCCTCAATATTTGAAGGCAGGGTAGAGGAAAAAAACAAACCAATGGTGACAAGAATGAAGATGACTAAGTGCAAAACCAAGCCATTTTCAGTCATGAATAACTAGCTATTAACACCTATGGCAAATACTAATCATCTACATAAATCATAGCAGGAGCTCCCCTCCTTACAAAACCAAACCAAACAAAAACCTCAAATGTCATTTCACATCTGCTCCTCAATCAGTTAATTCAAAAGCAAAGAAGCAAATTCAACATGTTTGAGTTCAGAAAACTATTGTGACTTGTACCGCATTACAGCAACTAGCAGAAATAGCTAATCTTAACTTTTTTGATACAGTACTGCAACTCCAAGATTTTATCTATTTTTAATTAAAATACAAAGATCAGTATCTTCTCCCACAACGGCAGCTTTAACAGGTTTTAACATTATTCATTTTAAGACAAAGCAAGAATATTGAAGAGTTCAAGTAGAAGAATGATTCAACCTTCATTGATCTTTTTGGAAGAAGGTATAATAAATAGCTCCCAGATTCAAGTACGCTCCCTTATTTGTCAAAAGACATTTACATTTATATGCCTCAATCTAATCAAGGCTGCCCATTTTTCTGCATTTGATTAATCTTCAATAACCGAAAGCCGACTTTCAATTCCTAGTAAAACATACATCCTTGTTGCACTACTGTTATTTTCCCATTAAAAAGGGCAAAGAAGTTTTATATTAAAATGAACAGTTCAAACACTGAAGGACATCACTGAGGTCACATTTCAGTGGTAAAGAATGCCCAAGTGCCATTAATATTTAGTCTACCTTAATGGAAGAAATTTGAGTTAGAAGATACTTTAGGTCATCTTGTCCACCCTTATGGGGACTTGCAGGGGAAGCTCTCGCTGTGGCACTTGCTGGCAGCTTCGCAGAGCCCATTTTGAAATGGGCAGTTCATGCTGCTCCCAGCGTCTCCTGGCATCTTGAACACTGGCAAATTTAAGTCTTCCAAAATACCGCAAGTTTTAATGAGTCTTTAGCAGACCCAATCTATATTTATTAGTTCTTAATATCTTCATCTCATAACATGCAGTTTTTCATATTTCTTTTTTTTTTTTTTCTGATTCATCTTAAAGTTTTTTTTTTTTTTTTAAGCTGATTGCTAGATCTTCCTGACCGTGAGCTACCAACCACACATTTACAAGCTTCTCTGCTTCCTGTTAGGCTTCCACAATATGACTTAGAGGTTCTCAGTTTTAAGAGCTGACAGAAGTTCCCTATGCTGTGGTCCAGTAAAGGAAACATTTTCTAACTGAAATTTTAGCATTAAACAACAAGAGCATTTGAATTACTAAAGTCACTAACAGATTCGATATTAGAGGAATAGGGATCCTTTGCTTATATCACTGGATGTAACACAACTTCATAAAATATTAAAATATACCACCGAATGCTAAAAAGAAACTAGTTGTTTCCTGCTTAAAGCGCCCAAACACAAAAGTGTCTACTTAACATGCAAGTGAGTCACTGTACTTGTGCATACATATAGTGCAGCCACGATTCACTTGAAAATTAGCTTTGACTTATACCATTTTAATTATCCACATCATAAGCATTTTTTTAAATGAAGTAATGCTGCAGTCCAGCCCCGAGACAGCAATATTGATTGGGAAAGCCTGCGAGTGTTTATAAATAACATGAGATCCCTCCTTCTGAGTCCAGAAAACCCAGCCTAGGTGAAAGCTTTCAACAACTGCAATGAGTAATAGGAGCAGCAATACCCTAAACAACCCAACAATAGTGTTCCAGACCAGCAATTTCAAGATTTTTTTTAAGCGTATTAGTATTTTTCAGACCGAATTCAGTGACCACTTTTTCCACTGACACTAAGAGAGTTTCCATTCATTATGCCATAAGTATTAAAGCCCTAGTACATTGGAAGCTGCTCCTGCCAGGAGAGTCAACGGCTCGAAGATGCACAAGTTTACTCCTGTTGGAATTTGCTATTGTGATGTTTGGAACAAATCCTCAAAAATTCCCGACAAACAGGCAGAGAGAGAGTCTCAGAGGCTATAGCTGCAGCCATGTATGAATACACCGTAAGAGGAATCAAGCGGACGGCAAGACATCCAGCAAAAATCACCATCTAAAAACGCCATTTCAAGTCAAATTCGGTAGCACCAACGCACGCGTTAAAGATGCTGCACCTTGCAGGCAGGCTGTGGTTCCCAGGGAGGCACTAACGCCCCTTCTGCCCTCCAAAACCGAGCCAAGACTATGAACTGCCCGCGACGCGGGAGGCGTTTGCAGGTGCACGGGGCCTGGGACCCGGTCCGGGGGGGCGCGGGAAGGGGCACGGCTGGGGCAGCGACCCCCCCGCCGCCCGCAGCGCGCGCAAACGGCGCGCACGGCCGCGCCGCCGGCCGCCCCGCAGCAACGCGCAGGAGGAAGCCCCGCAGAACCGAGAATGCCGCAGGGAGCGGGTATTTAAGGCTTTGCCGTGGGGAGTTAACAGCGGCAAGCAAAGGGAAAAAATAATAATAAAAAAAAATAATAAAAAAGGAAGAAGAAATAAAATGAACGTTCCTGCGCCCCCGTCTCCCCGGCGCTCATGCCGGGAGGGAGCAGAGGGGAGCGCGAGGCGCCCGCGGCGGCCCCGCTCCGCTCCGCTCGCTGCAGCTGCGCGGATTAATCACTCACCAGGCTCCGCGGGGCCGCCGCCGCGGCCGCCGCCTCTGCCCCGCGCACCGCTGCGCCCAGACACCGAGCAAGCGCGGGCCGCCCCCCCCTCTTTTTTATCCTCCCTCTCCCTTTTTTTTTTTTCCGCCGCTTTCCCCGTTTTTCCGCCGCAGTCCCCGGGCGGTTCGGGAGCCCGGGCGGGGGCGGCAGGCGCCGCGCGCCCCGCTCCGCGCTGCGGGAGCGGC